TTCTGGTATGCTTTGGATTTCTTATTCCACACAAACTTTTGTCTGCATTTCTAGACAATATGTCATTTTAATTTCACTTGAAACATCTACTGTGTTGTGGTTTATTTCTTCTACTTTGTGTAACTAGTTGTCTAATGATTTCAGCTTTTTTACACTATTATCAGGTGGGAGTTAATGTTTCATTATTCCTTAATCTGATGATCCTGTAACATCTTGGTTGTGTTTTTAGTTGTTCATCTGCAGCTTTAATGGAACTATTTTCATTGTTAGCTACAATGCTTCCTTTAAAAAATGTACATCTAATTTGCATCAACCTAATTCTTGTATACTCATCTTATGGTACCTATTAATTGTTTATGTGCCACTCAATTCTTCGTCCTGCTAAGATTCCTCGAGTTTAAGGTCTCTCTGCTCTAAACCTTGTTCTGGAATTTTGTTCCTATTACTTTTTTCTGGTGTGTTACTCTCAATCTATTGGATAAGATAGCTACCCAATACTTGCTAGTTGTTATACCTCTCAACTGGAAAATTACTTAATATAATTAAAGCTGGTCCTATTTAATGTGTAGCAAAATGAATAGCTTGTTGTTCATTGCTTCCCCCATTCAATTTAGAAATTATTTTGAACTGAGCTTGATAACTGTTTCATAAAAAATTTGAACTTTTTAAATCAATTTTAAAAAATGCTGTTGCTAATTTTTATGTCCTTCTTCAGCAAGACTCATCTGACTGTTGTTTACCTCTTCTTCCTTTAAATGTCCTTTGAGTTTGTACTTTTTCTCTATGATTAGACTCATTTGGAACCATTCCTTTTATTCCAATTCTGTCCCATGTTTCACCTGGATGCTCATTTTCCTTAGATTACTTTCCATAAATAGTTCTGTGACATCCTATTTTAATGTAATTTATTATTGAAAATAAGAGACATTTCCCAAAAAGGAAGTAGCAGTTTAGTATGTTAGGTTACTGTTGACTCCTTTTTAACTGCTGAAATAAACAATTGAAAATTCATTATGCTTACAAATTTGACCAGTTTCCGTTTTGCCTTTCGTTTTTTTTTTTTTTATTTTCAACTTCAATACAGAAAGATTTCATCACTACAAAACACAATTTTTTAACATTTGAAATTGGTATTTGTTAAGAATACATATGTACGTTACTGGAAAGAAGTATGCCTACCTAAACAATTATTTATAGTATTGTACATAAACTGTAGGTATATTAAGAGCAACATGTACTGATATTTAGCAAATGGAGTTCTGCATTAAAATACTCCGATATGACCATATCATTGTTTTGCAACACATAAAGTTTTGTTTCAACAAGTATCAGTTTTCATAATTGTTGTAGTCGAAGTTTACTATAACCATAATTTAAACAGTTTAACTAAAGCACTAAACTTAATTCGACCTTTACTGGGAATAAAAAATTTTTTTTAATACTGTAGACAAAGACAGTGCTGGTGGAAGTAGAATTAAGGTAAATTTCTCCTCAAGTATACAATTTATTTACCTTCAAAGTATTTCAGATTGTAAGGACCAGTCTCCTTTCTCCAAAAAGCAAAAGACATTTAGTTATAGATAATCTACAAGTTAATCTTGAAAGCAGGTATTAGGCCATTTTTGTTTAATAGTTGAAAAGTTGAAGCTATAACCATCTATCAACTTACTCTGGATAATGAAATAATTAAAAATGCATATCTTACATGTGGTTATTTCTATATTATACATGATCACGATACAGTCTAATGTTCTATTGGAGACATTCTGAACAACCTCGAGAGAGGGAAAAAGAAATCGTCCAGGTCAGTTTGCTCTCCCATGATCATTGTACAGCCATCTAGAATTTGTAATATCAATCTTCTTGCTCTGTATTCGTTATATTCAGTAGAAACTATTAAGATGAACAGACAAAACAACTTGCTTAAGTGAAATGCCAAATTATGTTACACAAAATAAAATAAAAGCATTATATTTGTTCTCTTTACATCTTGAGTTCAGCATAAGAAGATTGGATTAAAAACAAAAGTTTTTTTTCCCTACAAATTTTCAGCAAAAACATCAACCTAACATCTTCGTGTATAATCATTAAATACCTTTACTTCTCAATAATATATTTTCTGTCGTAAAACTGGAATGAACAGCAAGTTTGAAAAATTACTTGTATCTGTAAACCAAATATTTGAAAACAAACTACACTTGAAATTCAGTTGGGTGATATGTTTGTAGTTAATCTGAATTTATTGAGAAGTTGTAATTTCATTTAAAAACTCATCCTCTTACAATCAGTTCATTCTTGCTTAAAAACACACAAGTTTTACACAGCACCTACATTTCATACTTAATTTTCTTACTGAAAGTTACCTTTGTTTTCTTCCACTGTATTTATTCTCATCTGTTTTTTTTTCAAAAGTTAACTACAAATTCAGCATGCAATCCAAGAATATTAATTTTTAAGAGTTGACCAATATATATATATATAATAAAAATTGATATTGTATTTTAAAATTAGTCTGGTTAATTGAAATTAAATGTTTAATACTACACATACATACACACAAAAATTATATATAATACACAGAAACACTAATAAGTGAAAACATTTTAAATCATATTAGAATTTAGATTTTTTAAGTGATTTAAAACCACGAGAAACAGTCATCTGTACACCAGTATTTCAAAAACAATATACACATGCTATTTTTGTAAACATCTGTTTTTTTCCGCACTAACTCTTTACAAAAATTTATACTTCTACTTTATATACAAGTATTTATTATGTAGTTTTGAAAGAATAATTATTTTGTGTTCAGAGCTAACCCAGCTGAACACATTTTCAGCTCCTATATAACAAAGGTTGAAGTAGAAATATTAAAATAAAGTAACAATATGTAATAAGTATGGAAAGACATTTGTTTAATCCTTTGGTAATACAACAACAAAAAATAAGAAATGGAAACTCGGCAAAAATTTCAAAAGGTGAGCTAACCTAAACTTCAAGAACTGTTAATATATATTTTTTACTACTTAGTGCAGTGTTTTGAACAGATATGCAGTCTATAACTCTGGTGGTCAAGACACTTTTTTTTTTTTTTAAGGGGTAAGGAAAAATAAAGTTATATTATTTACAAATTCTTTTTATCTCCAGAAATATTCAAATTTTTTGTAAATAGGAAGTAAGAAGCATTAGTTCAGCAGACGCTATGAATGGTTGTTTTTTCCCTCTTATCATTGGAACCTGATATTTACATAAAATGAAATTAATCTGTACAAAAATACCAAACATATAAATAACACATCTGTAGAATTAAATTTGTCACAGGTGCTTTTCATTTATCCATTATCAACTTACTAGGAATGGTATATCACTACAACATATACACCGAGTAAAAGTACTACCAACTTTAAAGGTGTGTTCAGTGTTGTAGGAAAAAAAAATCAATGAAGATTTGCTTAAAAAAATCTATACAGTTATAAGTGGTGAAATAATATTTTAAATTCTAACTTTCGCAATGATTCGAAAGAACAAATTAAATGCTCACACACATATTAAGAAGTTTGTGTGTCTATATATAACCAATGTAAAAGCTTATAAATGATTTTAACACAAAATTAAGAAATCTAGTTACATTTATTTCTGGTTTTTAGAAATTTGATTTATTTTATTTTTTGTAAAAGCAAAAACAAAGTAAGCTGAAAGCTTTTTTTTTTTTAACTCTGTTTTTTTGGAACTTCTTAATATTATTACAAAAGAATGAAGTTATAAACAAAGAAAAGACAAGTACAATTGTAAAGTTACTAAAAAAAACAAATCACCACCACCAGTGAAAGTAGTAAAATTTAGGTTACAAAAGTTTACAATTTTATATTATATACATAAAGTTGCAGAATACTGTATTTTTAAACCTTCCATTTTAAATTTAAAACCTCAAAGGGGAAAAAATTTGAAAGGTGTGAATTCATAATTCTCAGCGAATAAACATTCACAAAGATCAAAAGTTTGCAAGGAAGTTCATTTTCACACAAGTTTTAAACACTAATTTACTAAACTCCAATGGACCTGAATAATTAACCATCTTAATACACAGTAAACTTTAAGACCATCACATATAAATGAACTAAAATTTACACAATCGAAAAAAAAATCAATCTGATCTCAAATTAAATTTTTCTTTCAGAAATTAACTTTATGCATCTTGGTTACTAAATAAATGAAACATTTGATGTACCTTGAATATTCAATGTAAAAAAAAACAACAAAAAACATAGGAAGCTTTGACCAACATGTAAAAACCATGCCATCCAATCACTTTGTATGTAGACAACTGCATTTAAAGTTACACATACCAATAAAATGCATGAACATTAATTTAATTTTAAAACACCATAATACATTTATTTCTATCTAAGAATATATGCATATACTATTTAAGGATCTTTTTAGATATTTTCTCTATATTTCTGGCATAAAATTTATTGAAGTCTGTACACACAGAGTTAAACACCGACACTCGAACCAAAATATAGGGATTCTAAATAAAGTCATTATTTTATATATATATATATATATATATATATATATATATCTTACTTCTAGATCTATTACTAGTAATTAGTCTGTCTGGTTA